GTAATAATAAAAGACTGAACTTGAAAGAGTCTGAGTTATATAACTAGCAAATAATGGAGTCAGGATTCAAGCCCAGCTGTTCTGGGTCCAAGGGCCATGCTCCCAATTACTACACTAAAATTGAAAATGAAATTGAAAATACCTAGCAAGTCTACCTCTAAGTGTATACCTGACAGAAACCCTAGATGTGCACATAAGTACAAGTATCTTCCTTGTCACATAATTTGTGATAGTGAGAAATCAAAAATAATGACATAGATCAATAAAATGTGTTATTATTATGGAAGAATTCTATACAGTAGTAACAAGAAACTAGATCTTCATATTATAATAGAGTGCTTGTTTGCAAAAACTCTGACAATGGGTCCAGTATCTGGCTTCGAATTCCATTTCTGTTACTTACTACCTGAGTGGCCATGGGCAAGAAACTCAACCTATTTGTCTCAGCTTCATCATCTCTAAAATAAGAACAATAGCAGTATGTACTGAATAGGATTATTATGAAGATTCAATGAGCTAATATTTGTAATAAAGTGCTTAGAACAGTGCCTGGCACTTAAAAGTGCCCCTGAAGTGATAATAGAACAATACCCAAATATATAACTATCAACATGGATATATTTTAAAAGTAATTTTAAAAAATTTTAAAAAATTAAAAAGTAATTTTTCATAAAAATACATTTACAAATATATGTGCAATAAGACTGCATTCTTACAACTTAAAACAATAATAGTGAAACAGGGGTGCTTGGGTGGCTCATTCAGGTAAGCATTGCACTCTTGATTTCAGCTCAGGTCATGATCTCAGGGTCCTGGGATCAAGCCCCGCATTGGGCTCCCTGCTGGGGAGTCTGCTTGAGGATTCTCTCTCTCTCCTTCTGCCCCTCTCCCACCATTCTCTCATTCTCTTTGAAATAAATAAATAAAATCTGAAATAATAATAATGATAACAAAACAACAAAGTACATACACTTATAAATATGTGTGCAGAAAATTTCCTGGAAGACTCCTTCAAACTGAAGGCATTAGTGGAAAGATAGGAAAGAACAGGAGACTGAGGTTGGCCCACTGAGGGATCATATCTGTAATGTTTTATTTCTTTAATTGAGCGAGAGAGAGAGATGAAATAAATATGACAAAATGGTAACAACTGAGAGTTTAGGTATTTCAGAAAACTGCTCTAGAGTTTGCTTTATCATTCTGTGTATTCTTTTTTTTTCCATTTTCTTTTTTTTTTAAAGATTTATTTATTTATTTGAGAGAGCAAGAATGAGAGAGAGTACATGAGAGGGGGGAGGTCAGAGGGAGAAGCAGGCTCCTCGCTGAGCAGGGAGCCCGATGCGGGACTCGATCCCGGGACTCCAGGATCATGACCTGAGCCGAAGGCAGTTGCTTAACCAACTGAGCCACCCAGGCGCCCTTTTTTCCATTTTCAAAATGAATTAGGCAAAGGCAAGTGTCAGAAGATGAGTGGATTCTGGGAGCAGAGTCTAGAAATCAGCTACACTGGCCTTTTCAATCAAGGTTATGGATGATGTGGTTCTGCAGACCTAAAACGGTCAGTTTGCAGCAGAAAGAGGCTGTTGTTATGTTAGAGGAGTGCCAGCACCCAGAGAGTCTAACAGGGCAGCAGGATGACCTCTGGGAAAGTAGCTGCTCATGGCTGACTTGCTTGGCGCCTGGGCCAGAAGCCAGAGCAGAGAGGTTGAATGCTTTCCCCTCCGTTCTTTCCCCGGAAATGGGTCTTTCAGCCCATACTTAGTGCTAACCTTTAACCGATAAATCACTCCCTAGGTGAGAGAATTTGGAAAGTAAAATCCTAGTAAGGAATAGCTGTTAGGAAGCAGAACCTTTGCAGATGGGGTGATAAAAGCCCCTTGTAGGTCTAGAGAAGGCAGTTTTTTTTTTTTTGTTTGTTTGTTTGTTTTTATATTTATTTATTTTTTATTCTTATGTTAATCCCCATACATTACATCATTAGTTTTAGATGAAGTGTTCCATGATTCATTGTTTGTGCATAACACCCAGTCCTCCATGCAGAATGTGCCCTCCTCAATACCCACCACCAGGCTAACCCATCCTCCCACCCCCCTCCCCTCTAGAACCCTGTTTGTTTTTCAGAGTCCATCCTCTCTCATGGTTCGTCTACCCCTCTGATTTCCCCTGCTTCATTCTTCCCCTCTCACTACCTTCTTCTTCTTCTTCTTTTTTTTTTCTTAACATATATTGCATTATTTGTTTCAGAGGTACAGAAATGAGATTCAACAGTCTTGCACAATTCACAGCGCTTACCAGAGCACATACCCTCCCCAGTGTCTATCACCCAGTCACCCCATCCCTCCCACCCCACCCCCCACTCCAACAACACTTAGTTTGTTTCCTGCGATTAAGAATTCCTCATATCAGTGAGATCATATGATACAAGTCAAATAGAGAAGGCAGTTTTGAGAATATAAGAGAAAAGTGAAGACGAAAGATAAAGGTACCTGCTGGAATATATGGATTTCTGCTGTTTCTACTAATATTCACTCGGTTTGAAAGGTATTCAAAAATTTCTGAAAACATTGCAAAAGGGGATTGTCAGCTTGAAGACAGAACTACATTAATGTGATGACCTGGAAAAATAATCAATACTCAAGTAATTCAGATCATAAAGTTACTTGTGGCTACTGAGTCCTCTAATGCTGGTTTATTCTATGTAGTATTGGTATTTCTCCATTTCAAAAAAAATTGCAATATAGCATTTTTCTTCTGACATACCCAGACAGTGATTTTTTTTTCTTAAAAACTTTACCTGTGTTTGTAGAGTATACAGAGTGTTTTATTACTTCCAGGATCCACTTCTCAACTATTAAAACCACTCTAGTTTTGTTTTGCTTTTTCTTCCTTTCAGAGGGACACATTTATTAGCATTTATGAGTTATTCACTAGTATCTGTACAAAGTGCACGAATGACTAATGAAAAGTGTTCACCTAATTAGCAATGGGTGTGGACGATATTAATTGGAATTGACTTACTCCCGAGTTATTTTCATGTTAATTCCCAGGCATGGGGAGCTAACCTGGAGAAGCAAGAACTTCTGGATATTAGAAAGCCTTTTTTATTTATCTATTTATTTTTACCAGAATCAACTATGAATAGGAAGAGAGAAATACTGTGGATTCTAAAGGAGTTAAAGGCTGGCATTTTAAGGAATCCCATGTGTTGGGGATGGCACATACTTCTTTAGTAAATTTAATAGGTGTCCATTCATAAAGCATAACTTATTTTACTTCAGTGAATCAGAGTGATGGCTTAAGTATTGCACAAGGGCTCTTCATGTGATGCATGCCACACTTTGGATTCTGCTTGGGAGAGATAATCATAAAACAAAGTAACTAAGTGCTCCGAAGCAGCGTGCTTTGGAATTCAGCAAGTTAATTTTCAGGTAGTTAAGGAGCTTTCTTTTCAATGACAATTGTAAATGCCATTCCCCTTAGTTAAACCAAATAAAATGTCAGATTCTAAAGAAGAAAAATGGGCACAAACCAGATAAGAAGAAACCCTTTTTCTTCTTCTTCCTTTTTTTTTTTTTTCATTAATCTAAGTATGGGTTATCCAAATTCTTTTCTCTTTCTTGGGCTAGAAGGTAAAATATACTTTAAATGCATAAAGATCAGTGTTGCATGGACATCTATTGTTGAACATTATTCAGTGCAAATATTCTTAGGAGAGGTAAATAAGGCTTTATTAGGCTTTTATATCTTAGTATAAATAAGCTTAATAGATTCTTTTCTGCGACAAGTTAAAGTTAAATTTGCTTTTATATTTGCAGAGTATTTGGATCTTGACTCTGCATAAGGAGACCGTAGTTCAAGCTTCTATCTTTCCTAGCCCTTAGGAGGCATTTACTGAACCTCTCCAAGACATAATTTTTCAATGTGTGGGTTGACCACAGATATTAAAGACCCATGTAGCTCTAATACTTCAAGTTAGTTGCTTCAAAAAATGTTAGATGTTAATTCCTGAAATATAATTTGAGATATAAATTAGTAACTGCAACTAGGAATATGTCACTTCACCAAGAAATAAGGCAAAAAAACCCCCCAAAACAAAAAAACTATGAGTTGGGTTAGGACATAAGCAAAGAATAAGCCTGCTGCAAGATAGGCTTCTCAGAAAATACATGCAAAAATTCAATTCTAGCAAACACTTCTACTTAAAACCTCACTCAAAGGGTTGTGTTTATTGTTTCTAGAGGAGCATCTTCTAAGGAAGCATTTTAGGCTTCCATTCCCTTTAAGGAAGTCCATTGGCATGGTCAACAAGAATGATATCCATAACCCTTAATTCCAGTGGTAAGCTCAAGACATGAGAAAATCAAGTGTATCACAGAAAAGGCAGGCTGAGTGCTTTGCCAATGAAGCCACAATTTAATTAAGCTAAATTAGTAGATATCAGTAATTACATGGATTAATTCAAATAGAAAAAGAGTAAAAGGTTTGACTGATAGATTGTTGAGTCTGCTGAGCATAATTATTATTTGGAGAAATCCATTGTTATATGCTTATGAAGAAAAGGACAAAGTATGTTGAGTAGTAACCACTGATGGTCCTGATAGTCTCGCAGAAGTGAAGGAAAAGTTCATGCAAGTCCATTTGGTGGGACAAGGACTCATAGCCCACGTGGATAAAAAAGGGAAGGGTATTTGGAAGTGTGATGATGTATAACCTCAAAGGTCAAATCACAGAGAATTCCTGGAGAAAGAAACTGAGTAGCTTCTTCCAAAGTGTATCAGAGTGATTGAAGCACAATTACCTGTGTGAAGATGTGATAAATTAGAGTTAAGCAATAACCTAGAGAGGCATTCTTGCATAAAGTGACAAGCAAGGAGGAGGGAGCATCTGGATGGTGACACACCCACTTCTAAGAGTATATATAACTTGGAGTCCAGACCATGGCATTGAAACTCAGAGCATCTCTTCACTGTCACTCAGCCAAACTCACATCTCCTGCCAACATGTCCTACAGCTACTGCTCTGGAAACAACTCCTCCCACTCCTTTGGGGCATACCTGCGCTCCCCAAGCTCCTCCTGTCACTCTTCCTTCCCCAGCAACCTGGTCTACCACACTGACCTACGCTCTCCCAGCACCTGCCAGCTGGGCTCCTTCCTCCCCAGTGGCTCTCAGGACACCTTCTGTAAGCCCACCAGCTGCCAGACATCCCGTGTGGTGTCCAGCCCCTGCCAGACGTCCTACCACCGCCTGAGGACCTCCATGCTCTCCAGTCCTTGCCAGACGACTCGCTCTGGGTCTGTGGGCATTGAGTCCAGCAGCTGCCCTTCCCTGGGCTATGGATCCAGAAGCTGCTACTCACTGGGCTGTGGATCCCAGGGCTCCAGATCCAGGAGTTATGGAGTCTGTGGCTTCCCTTCTCTGGGCTATGGATCCAGATTCTGGCATCCAACCTACTTGGCTTCTAGGAGCTGCCAGTCTCCTTGTTACAGGCCAACCTATAGATCAGCCTTCTGTAGACCAACTTGTTGAGTTTCCAGACCCTTTGAGCAAAATATCTCAGTCTCTACATAGAGCTCCTATCAGTAATGTTAGCTAAACACCTCTCACCTCCAGCTCTTCACCCTTTGTCTGGCATCAAGTACCAGCTGATAGACTAGTTTCTTTAGACAGTGAAATTAATGAATGACCAAAATATTAAGTGCGTACCTATAATTTTGAACAATTGACTCAGAATTACATAAATTCTTTTTACAAAATGTATGGAAATTCAGTTTTGTTTGACCTAATAAATCCATTGGCTCTTGTATCTGATATGTTCTCATTGTTCTTTATTGATTTTCAAAGTCTGATTTGTGATCTATCTTTGGGGCTCCAGACCCTCAGAATACTTTCCTTAGGAAATAGGTTTGGATTTCTGTAGGAAATGGCAGCAGGCCTGGTATCTAGTGAAATTCTCTGGGCAGTTTACTGACTAAGAGCTAATAAGTGTGCATGTCTTCCAAAGCTGGTAGGATTTTTATTATTGAGAGTATGCCCATATAAAGTCAACATTCTCATCACATTTTCAGTGAGGACATCGTATGCTTATTTGGTTTTGAGTTTACATTTTCAAAATAGTATTGAATTAGAATTTGTCCAGAGATGTTAACCGGGTGAAAAAGCATTTAGAAAATATATAAATTATTTGAATGAATCTGATATATTGACATGAAAAACAGAAAATATGAAGTGTTAGGGTTTGGAGGACATGATGATTGTCTTTAAATATATAGAAATATGGGTTATTCAGTGGTGTGTACTTGTGTGTGTGTGTGTGTGTAAGAGGGAGACAGATAAACAGAGTCTTAAAGTTTAAAAAATTGTGAGGAATGGAAAAAGTTATAGGGAGAAATATTTTGGCTTATTATAAAAAAATATAAATTTATGAGTTATAAGTTTACAAAATTATTATGACCTGGGTACTTTGAGGCTATTCAGTTTCTCAACAAGTAGAAGATGAATCATCCCATGTTTGTTTGTTTGTCTTATGACTTCTGCCTTGAATTGGAGGTAAGATTAGATAACTTTCGGTGTTCTGAATCTTATAACCCATGTAGGTATTCTTGGGATCCACTGCTCATTTGTGGTAGTGAAAAGTGGACACATCCTTGTAGGACACTATGCAGATCTGAGGCAGGACACCCTTTGTGTTTATTTTTAATATGAGCAAGTTTTTGTCTCAGAGCCTAAATGTAGTGTTAAAATTCAGTTAAAACTTTTTCATAACATATTTAGTGACAACTCATCATGAATGGGAGAAATCACCGACAAAGATTTACCACTTACTGCAATCATGTGCCATGAGTGTTTATTGATTTGTCTTCCCTGATACTTTTTCCTCAAGCTTTTTCTAATAGAAGCTGAGAAAAGAGAGCTCCTTTTCTCTTATATCCAAGAAAATAATGGGCTAAGTATGGATGCATGGGAACCAGGTCTACTGTGCACAGAAATGTGCCCAAGAGACAGAAAATAGAGGAATAGAGAAGAGGGAAATAGAAGTTTCTGGTGACACGGGAGCCTCTGGTTTCCATTATCCCTTAAGCCAGCTTTACTAGCCCCTCATGTACTTTGATTATATGGGCCAATAAAGTCTTCTTTTGGTTTAAACTAATTAAAATAATTAAAATAAAATTTAAGATTTCTGTTACATTCAAAGAGTTATAATTAATAAAAATGTGTCATCTAGGTGCAGAGTTACTCATTGATTTTGGTGTAAAGAAACACTTCAGAATTTTATTAGTAAGACAAAAAGATTCTGTGAGTCTGAACTATTACCATTAGCAGTGAGGGTGGACTACTATTCCCTTCTTAAAATGATGTGGAATGAGTAAAATGCAGACTAAAGAAAGCATTTGGGAAAGCAAACTCAAGAGGGTCACAGTAGTATGGCCAGTGAGAGTCTTGGGGACACAGTCAGCAAACCTAGTAGAACTAGAAGCTTCTACCTTCAAGCAAGGAAGGCATGGGGCCAAATAAGGAGTGATGAGTACACATAATGTTTAAAACTGAGAACAACCCCAAGATGGAAGGAAGAGGTATCCAGTGACATAGAGGGTCTAGTTCTGGAATGACTTGGAGATTTATCCCCACTATAATGGAATCTTTGAGGTGAGAGGCCAAAGACTGAGACGGAGGGTCAAAGGAGAGGAGAGGAAATGCATACATTGGCATACTTTTAATATGTAAGCTTTTCCAAGTATAACATGAAGATTCAGATTTCAGGGAGCAGACATGATGAATACCCTTTGCATCCTTCATTCTCTGCATTGTGATTTTCTCAGTATCTCACCACTGCTAGTTTCCATTTTCCACTTTTCTTCTCTCACCCCTCTGCTTTTCTTTTCTATCTGCCCCCCATATATCCATCTCTCTCTCATATATCCATCTCTCTCCCTCAATCTCTCTCTCAACCTCTCCATCTCTCTCTCTCTCTCCCCGCCTCATATCTCCATCTCTCTCTCTCTCCTTCCCTCCCTCCTTCTCTCCCTCCCTCCATGATTTTTTCACCTTTTATGTGCACTCTGCTTTTTTCCACATCCACCTTCTGGTGTCTTATTGAGTCTGGGCACCAGGTAACATTGGTCGATGTTTAATGGATGATGGTGACAGGGTGTAATAGAAGGCAGGGGTCTGTTGTTGGCTAAGAAGAAGCTAGGAGTGAAGAGGGGCATTTGTCTCTCAAGCTCAGTCTGCTCATTCATAACTACCCCACTTCTAATGCCTTTACTACATTAGGTGACGTCAGCTCCTTGCTCTGAATTCAGCTCACTAAATATATTTTGAACTTTAACTTCGCATTACAGTTCTTTTGTGAAAAATGCTGGCAACTTAGAAAAGACAAAGACTTTTCCTTGTAAAGAGCTAGTTCACATGTAGTGGAAGAGACAAACTTCCTCCCATTATCTTGGTGTAAAGGGTGAGTGTAAGGGGATGCCAAGGGAGCCTCAGGAAGAGGTAACTGCATGAGCAATGGTATAATCACCTGGGAGAATATTGTGTGGGGTTCAAGGAGGAAAACTTCAAGCTCATTTTTTTTTTAAGATTTTATTTACTTATTTGACAGAGAGAGACATAGTGAGAGCAGAAACACAAGCAGGGGGAGTAGGAGAGGGAGAAGCAGGCTTCCCGCGGAGCAGGGAGCCTGATGTGGGACTCGATCCCAGGATCCTGGGATCATGACCTGAGCTGAAGGCAGACGCTTAACGACTGAGCCACCCAGGTGCCCACCTCAAGCTCATTTTATTAAACTCTGAAATCTGGGCACAAGAAGATAAGAGATTACATAATAATAAAAAGTGAGCTGGTGCAACCCTACAAGTCCAGAAATAGAAAGATGCTTGAGGAAGCCTGAGCCTCTTGTCTGGAGTGACGAGATGTCACTGATAAAAAACAACCTTCATATTTGATATGCGGGAATGGTTCTTTGGGCTCATGTTATTCTTGGGAAGTAAAATTAATGTGCTTATTTATGTGACTGGGGACTCATTCAGTTGCAATTAACAATCTAATAAAATGCTAACACACACAGGGTAGAGTTCAGGGATGCAAACTATAACTTGAGAGGCACTGCACTCTGAATTAAGGAAACATGAGTTGCTTCTCAAGTTCAAGATACTTTATGCAGCTATTCAACAGGAAATCATACCTCTCACCATGTCTTACTTACTGCTGCTCCAGGAGTTCCCCTTACTGCCCCCTTAGGGGTTTTCTGATTTCCTAGTGTTCTGCTGTGTCTGTTCTCATCCCACTGATTTGCTTTAATGCAGCATCTCATTCTTAAGGGGACACCCACCGTCAAAATTGTGCAAAGGACTGCCTTCTTAAAGGATACACCTCAGGCTTCCGTTCACTCACCCAAGCCCCAGTCCTAGAGTGTGTTTACCTCCACTCCCTAATTACCATGTATGTTGATGGCCACATGCAGGCCAGACAAGAACCGTTGCTTTCTGCAGGCTCCACCACATTGCTGACATGGAGTCTTGGGTCTAGGGACATAATAATTGCCACTTCTCGGTTGTGGACCCTGTTTTTGCCACCCACCTTATCTGCTTCTGTAAATTTTTTGTGTATTTTGCCAACCAGTCTGTATATATAAATTACTCATCAAACTGCTGCTTGATCATATTTTTCATGCACAGACTGCACAAGCTTCTGGTGCTGTTGAACCCTCTCTACACAATCAAGATTGTCACCTAATGAGTATTCCCTTATTGGACTATGGCCTTTTCCTGGATAAACTGTACCTGTTCTAAGATACCCCTTGTAATTGGACCAGCAACCATCTACCTAGAGAAAAATAGCCTTTGCTCATCAAAGGCTATTTGATTCACCCATTAAAAATTATTAAATCTTAGTAATGTTACATTTCAAGGCTTATCCTTTACAATGAAGTAGATCTTTATAGGCAAGTAGAAAATAATGAAGAAAAATGAGATTGTAGAGATTTAACTTACTGGAACCAAAATTGTGCACTCTATTATTTTTCATTAGTGTGTGTGGTCTGGTATATCTTTTGGATGCTCTAGGTTTTAAAGAAATACTGATATTTTTGTTAAATAGACACTAAATTTCCACCTTAGAAGAATGTTGCTATATTTAAGATTACTATTGGTAGACTAGGCTTTTGAAATCTTGTAATTTTCCTTTCCTTTTATGGCACCATGGACAGGGAAATAAAGCAAATAAACATGTGGGACTTGGGTTCTATTGCTGGTCCTCTTATTAACCAGACTTTGATTTTATATTCATCACCTCACTTCTCTGGGTACTGTCTTCCATATATGTAAAATGAGATAGTCCTTGATAATCTGTGATCTCTAAGATTTCCTTCAGCATTATAGGCCTATTTATATTATATGATAGCAGTGTCATGTGGGGGGTGGGCTGTTAATGCACCCACTACAGTTTAGATTCTTCTTTGTGGCCTGGAGGGAGAAACAGAAGGCTAATGTGTAAAATGGGATGCGATACAAAACCTAATAGTATTAAGAGATAACTTTTCAAATAGTAGAATCATGATTCTCATGTAAATAAAAAACAAACACAAATGAAATATCTTATTGAACCCATTAATAGATGAGAAAACCATTGGAAAGTTACAAATGGCTGGAAGGAGGATTCAAG